AAGAAACAATATTTTTGAGTAGTTATTATATAGAGATTCTTCATGGCCAAGCTAAACGATTTAATGCATTCTTAAGGATTTTAAATAATAGTCAGATATTACTTTTATGCATAAAATCAGATAGTTAAACAGCTCGTAACGAATTTAGAATATACCATCGGAATCAAATTTTAAAGTGTCCGTGAGTTGTTAGTCAAAACATTAAAAATAATTATTTATTAAATGTTTTCTAATTTAAATATGAATTTTTAGAATATACTATAATAATAAGATATTATCAAAAATATTGTTGATAGCATTTTTGCGATTTTACTAATCTGTAAATGATATTAGAAAATTTAGGTAGGGGTTGGATTTTTCGGGTTTTGGTGGCAAACAGTTCCCCTATTGTTATGGTTTAGTTTTAGGAATGTTGGGGTATAGATTTACATAATACTATAGTTAATGTTACCGAGGCGGTTTATTCCCTGTCATCTATTACACACTATTAATTTTGTTTCTCTGACATCTAAAATATTTAATGCGTATTGAATGAATTAAACAGAGAAAGGATCGCAAAATGATGTTTTTGGAATCGAGAAAACACAAAAGGTAAGTATTTAAATGGATTTCCTTTTTAGTAGTGTCGATGGTAAAAATAAATCAAAAAATAAATTCTAAAAAATCAACCAATAGAATCGCTAGAATTCTTCTGAGAAGGGCTGTGTGAGTGCCACGTGTCAAAGTGACTTCTCTTTTAATATATAGGGGGATTTTATAATTTATTATCACTACTATATAGAACTTCTTTTTATTATTACATTTTTTTAATATCTAGTGAACTCTTTTTTTATGTTATGAGAAAAAACGTATTTACAAGAATACTATTATTTTTAGTGCCACGTAGGTAAAACATCGGCTCTACATAAGAATGCGGCATAAAATTCAGCCGTAATACGATATGAATTTTGTTACGGCCGAGTTATAGTTACGTTGCGGCTGATTTAAAGAATTTAGCTCACTTATGAGAAATAAGCTGAGTTATGAACATAAATCAACCTATCGTTACAGCTGACTTAAAAAAAAATCGGGCTGATTTATGTGATAACGGCTGAATTACGGTCACATATTACGACTGACTTATACATCGGCGGGCTGATTTCTGGAAAATCCGGCTGAGTTCTAGTTACGATACGCCTGAGTTAACTATCGCGGCTGGTTAAATATTCGTCGACAGGCCGAGTTATGAGAGGTATTTACGGCTGAGTTATATTTAATCATCCGTAATAAATAGAGTAACAGTAAACTCAGTTGAATTACGGCTGACTTATTAGCGAAAGATTAATTACTAGAATATCATTCATTTGCCGGTTGATTTATTTGACGATACGGCTGACTTATTGCGTTTCATCGTTGTTACGGCTGATTATTAGCAAAAAAAATAATTACTAAAATAGTACTCATGTTTTGACTGATTTACGGTGTACTTGGTGGTTGACTTATTGTGGCTGACTTAAGTGTTCGTTTGGTGGCTGAATTACCGATTTTCCATGTCATCATCGATGTCAGCTTTTATTTGCCATGTCATTACTACTACAAAAATGAAATTAGGGTTTATGCTACAGATGCCGCTCTTTGTTCTTCACATTCTTCTCTTTCTCTAAAATCTTATGGATCCGGTAATTATTGTTTCAGGTAACTAGATTAAGAAAAACATATATGTATTCACACCCAATAGTAGAGGATGTGTAGTTCTACATGCATAAGAGAAAATAACACACGACGAACTCGAAAAGTCACTACTCGATGATGACAGATTGAATGAGTTGAGTCATTAGATTCAGCTAAGCTACCAGTTCTCGAATAAAGCTTTGAAAATAATGGCTCACGACATGCCACTAGTTTACGTCTCCAATACCGTCAACTACAATTTTTTTTAAACCTAAAGAAAGTAAAAAAATTACGTCTCTGTGTAAAGATTATAGAGAACGAGGATGATGAAATCAGCTGGAAAGATGGAGTGGGAGAGAAGAGTAATATATTATTCAGTTTCAGCTCAGAAGCAGAAGTTGAATCTAGATACGATGGTTTTAGTTTGGAGGAGGAACACGATGACAATGAGAATAACTTCTCAAGTATCTTGGACGGAGAAAAACATAAAGATGTTGGAGAAGATGAAGAAGGCGAAGAAGACAGTGAATTTGATATCCGATTTGATATGTTCGACGACACAGATGGTGCGTCATCCAAAGATGATAACTTTAGCTCATACGGTGAGTCTCTAACACAAGACGAAGATTCACCAAAACTACCGCCTAAAAAGAGATCTCAGACGACTGAAACTTCTTACAGTTGGAGCGGATCTAAAGGGGATTCAGAGGTTCTAAGGTTGGAGATGTCTTCGCTAAACGTTGCTGTTGGACAACGATACGAGAGTAAAGCTGAGTTGGAAAGACGACTGAAAATTCTTACAATGAGAGATCAATTTGATTTTGATATGGAAGTATCCAATCCATATTTACTCATTGTTAAATGTTGGGTTGGTGGATGTCTCTGGAGAGTTCGTGCTTCAAAACAAGGGGATTCCCTAACATTCTATGTTCGTATTTACGATTCGGAATATACATGTTCTGTAACTGATCGTTCT